TTGGAATTTTCATAGGAATTGCATTGAATCTGTAGATGACCTTAGGTAGTATGGGTATTTAACAATATTAATTCTTCTGATCCATGAATACATGATATCTTTCCATTTATCTGTGTCTTCAATTTTTTCATCAGTATCTTATAATTTTCAGTGTACAGATCTTTTTTATCCTAGGTTAAATTTATTCCAAAGTATTTTATTAGTTTTTATGCTATTGAAAATGGGAATGTTTTCTTTATTTTTTTTCAGATAGTTTGTTGTATGCATATAGAAACAAAACTGATTTTTGTATGTTGATTTTGTATCCTGCCACGTTACTGAATTCGTCAATTAGTTCTGACAGTTTTTTAGTGGTGTCTTTATGACTTTGTATATGTATAAGATCATGTGATCTACAAACAGAGACAGTTTTACTTCTTCCTTTTTAATGTAGATGCCTATTATTTCTTTTTCTTGACTAATTGCTCTGGGTAGGACTTCCAGCATCATGTTGAATAGAAGTGGTAACAGCAAGCATCCTGATCTTGTTCCTGATCTTAGAAGAAAAGCTTTCAGCTTTTCACTGTTAAGTATGATGTGAGCTGCGGGCTTGTCATATATGGCCTTTCTTATGTCGAGGTGCATTCCTTCTGTACCTAATTCGTTGAGAGTTTTTATCATGAAAGGAAGTCGAATCGAATTTTGTCAAATGTTTTTTCTGCGTCGATCGAGATGATCATACAATTTTTGCGCTTCATTCTATTAATGTGGGGTATCCCATTTACGGATTTACGTATGTCAAACCATCCTTGCATTCCAGGGAGGAGCGGTTTCTTTTAAATATGGTGTGAGACTAGTAGTGCGTCTAGAATTAGAATCCAGTTCTCCCACATGTAAAGCAGGCTCTCTGAGAAAGAAACTTTTAGGTACAGCGAGGAACTTTTCTGCTATAGTCAAGTCTTAATGACCAATCGTATTTTACTTTCACCCGGTCTTAGATTAGAACACTAACTCACTCTGATTCCTGTCTTAATGTCCAATTGACCTATACCTCTGGGTCTTGGGCTCTGAGCCTAAAATGCAGCTTGGCACTTGAAAGCCCTTCTACCTTCCCAGCACACCTTCTCAGACTCTACCACATTCATGTATTTACTTGCTGTAACTGTTTAGCTACTTAATGGAACAGCCATGTTTACCTTTATCATTGCCTCATCGGCCAAGAAGCTCCCCCATGAGTCCAGATTCCCCTGTACATTCTACCCTCCTGGCAGAAGCAGGGAAATTACAGTCCCCAAACCTCCATGCTCAAAGCATAAAACTATTTTCTTCTTCACTACTAGAGAGAACCAATTTCCTACTTTTTTTGATCAAGTTCCTCTTTTTTTTGATCAGCTACTCATACTCATTAAAGAACTATGGAAGATGAAGAAAGACTAAGAAATAGAAATCACCCATAATCCCACCACCAAAAGAAAACCACTATTAATATTTGAGCTATTTCCTTATACTCTTTCTTAGAGAATAAAGAAATCTTTATCTTACCGACAGGAATCCAGCTGCCAGTTCTTAGGTGTGCTTGAGATTTTAAATGCACTAGAAGTGAAGATTGCCTCTAGCAATATCCAACTCATACCACTTATTTCTTGTACATCAAATCTCTTTCAGGAGTAAGAATTTCAAACAATTTTACATAGAAAAATGAGTTTTTAAAATGTTTTATGACATGCGTTAATCACCTTCGCTGTGCTTCATGTACTTCTAGCTAGCATAGTCTACGTTTCCAGCTCCATCTCCAGCCCCAGCGGAGCAGCTCTCATCAACTTCTACCCCAATTCACGGCATTCAGCCACCTAACTGTCAATCCAAATGATCATCATTGAAAAACCATATCAAATGCAGTTTGGGGAAAACTATCAAAATGTATTATGCCTATTTTACAGTGGCCTCTTTTTAAACAAAATCAACTCTTTTGTCTTTTTTCCAAATTCACACACTTAAAGATTAAGAAGTGTTTATTAGGTATACGCTCTGGTCTCTGCTCTGCTGAGTGAGTGGGGGGCCACAAAAACAGTAAGCCTGCCACAATTAGGGAAGTGGTTAAAAAGTTGGTACAAACTGAGAACACAATAGGTTTTCAGGAAAGGGGGTAATTCATGTGGGCAAAAGAATTAAGATTTGTACTGAGCTGTGAAGGATAAGAGAAGAACCAGCAAGAAAAATACCAGCAGAGATTAGAGGCTGGAATTAGCCTTTAGCCAACATTTATTAGGCACCAAGTACGTGCCAGGCATTGTGAGAGAAAGAGAGAGGAAGAGACAGGTGATTAAAGCAGCACTGTGGGGGGCTTGTAAGTGCCTTGGGCAAGCAGGAAAAGCTTTCCTGAAGAGAGGCCTTTGGCTTAGCATCGAACAAAAGAGGGGACCGGGGTTCCAAGCATGGGGACTGGCGAGGGCACAGGCGCTGGCAGACCACAAACAGCACAGGATGTGGGTGGGAGAGAGGGGAGATGAGGCTGCTGGAGGAGGCAGGAGCCAAACCCTAAGTCCTGGATGCAGGGCTGATAAATGTGTGCTTCTCAACGTTACCCCAAATGCTAGGAGACCACCTGTGCCATGGGCAGACGTTTCCAGAAATATAATGAGATATGATACCTCGCCTCTGCCCTGAGAGAACTCACAGGCTGGTGGAGGAGGCAAGAAGCAATGTTGGCATCCCTCATGATTTTACCTTCTCAGAGTTCAGGCTCTCCATTGCAGTCTTTCCTGGCCCAATAGCAGGTGTAGCTCTTGGGGAAAGACTAAGGAGCTTAAATGTCCAGGACTTGCCACCCTCCACGATCACCCCCAGAGGCAAGAGGGCTGTGAGTGTCTCTCCACTTCCAGCTCCCTGAGCTCCCCTCTCTCTCCTGCAAAAACCCTCTCTCAAGAAACTGAAGAGGGACAGAGACCCAGAGGCTACTTAGAGTCCTGCCTGGAACAGGACAGTTGACAGCCCAAAGATGGTTTCCCTGAACTGCATCAAGGGACAGACCGAAGAGTACCAGAGCCATGGCCACTCCCTCCTGCCACCGCGTGTCCTTCGGCAATGTTCTCTCCAGATGTTGAGCTTACCCTAGACCCTCCGTGTCTCCCCCTGCCTTGGGCATCAGATCCAGACTCCCTCTTTCCTGACCTTGTCACTCCATGCCTGGCACACATTAACAGATCACTAAATATTTTCATGATAACAAATGGAAGTCGGCTCTCTCTTGCTGTTTGCCACCTCTAATCTCCGTGTCTTTGACCCAGGTTATTAACGTGGCCGCGGGAACAGATTCCAAATGCACAGCTGCCTGGCCGAACGGCACGGCCTTATTGTCTGTGACTCTCTGATTTACGCCGATGATAAACACCCAGCGACGGCAGCTTATCAGTCAGGACACACGGCCCTTTCCATGACCAAAGCGGCATTAATGTATGCAGTTCATTCATTCATCCTTTCATTCGTCAAACATTTATCAAGGCCATACTGTATGCCTGGCACTCACTAAGCTGGGAGTTAAGAATAAAGAAATGAAAAAGACACAATAGAGACAGAAAGAAACATGTAGGAAAGTATATAATATAAACACTCACGCCGTGAGATCGCCTGGAGGACTCAAGTGGGACACGCTTTGAGAATCACAGTCAAAGCATAGCTATTGATGAGAGATTAGTTTTAATAAGCACATTAATAAGAAATTGAAAGTCTACCTAAAGCACCGAAGACTTAATGTTCCTCTGCGTTTAGGTTACATGGATAGTTAATTATAGTGGCTGACGTCTACCAAGCACCTACTAGGTGTCAGGCACTGCGCTGTACGCGTCACCGAGCACAGAAACTGTTGAGACGGACGGGTGGGTTGGGGGCAGAGGGCTACCATGTGCCTCTGGTTTTGTAGATGGCCGGTCTCAACACAAGATAAGCTGCATTGCGATAGAAAAGTTCAAAAGATAATTAAACCAGTTAAAAAGCAGAACGGCACTGGGACCGAAGCTGGGTTTCAGAATCAGTTTGCAAGAAATAATTTCATCATCACAGAACATCAAACGTGAATTCCATTTTCAGCTATGCAAATTCTAAAAGAATAACACCTCGCATTTGCATAATGCTTGATGCTTTTCAAAGTGCTTTCCCAGTTATTAATCTAGAGGAGGCTTTATTACCACCGGAAACATAAATTAAAATTCTGTTCAAACTCGAGTTCTCCATTATTTTTTCCACTTTCCCCTCAAACACCGGAGCCGCCTAAATCCAGGTGCTTATGACTGAGTCACTTTAATAAATTGAACCGACAAGGTGAACATGCATAAATGTTGCATTTTGCGGGGCCTTCGATCAAGCCAGACCTTCGAAGACCCCCTGTTGAATGAACGAAATCACAGGGAGTTATTCTCAGCTCACATCTGAGATCCTTTCAGGGTCTCAGACTTTGTGGGCACGGCCTGCGCTGTGTTCGCAGGAATCCGCTTCCTTCTATCAAATATTAGAAAACAAGGAAATTAGTTCCACCAGTTTGTCCTTAAGCCTCCAGAAACCCCTGTCAGTGACTTCCCGCAAAATAGCCCACGGTGCCAGAGGCTCCTGTGTCCTCTTGGTTTTTAACGTAACATGAACCAAGTGGCTGAATCGGCTGTAAATCCAACATGGGGAGAAGATTTAAGAAAAACAACCTGAGGAGATATGATGGCTTGCATGGAAATACTTCTCCCCAAACCTTTCCAATGTGTTTCTTTTTCCATCTCTTTCAAACTTAATTATGTGCAGCATTCTCAGTCACTGAATCACCAGCCTTTCCTGACACCTCAATCTCATGCATTTTAGCGAAAGATTAACCTGGCTGTTTGCTTTTAATTCTGAAGCTGTGTTAATACTCAACTCCCTCTAGATTAGAAAAGAAAAAAAAAACACACTCCCACATACCCCACCCTGGTTCCAGCAAGGCTCCAGGACTGCCATTTCCAACAATGTCACAGTCACTGGAACGTGCTAGCCTCACTTACCATTTCAGGAGAGCCAAGAGGACCACAGACAGGGCCACTGTCAGCATGGGGCCGTTCGCTTCCAGTGTGAGGAAGCCCAAGACTCCCATTGTTCCCCAGAGACCCTAGAGGGGTGACCTCCAGAAGACAGATGGCAGCTGATCGTCTGTCGTTACAGGAACCGCAGCCTGCAGATGAAGAAGGAAGAGGCAACCAAGAAAACATCACATTAAGCGGGTCCCCAAAATGCGCTCTTTCTCAGAGTGTCTCCTTCTAAAGAGGAAGGAAGAGGAGGGAAAAACAAAGGGTTTCAGTGTAAGGCAATGAATCAGCAGCTTTACTTTCTTGATGACTACGCTGTCAATAAACATTTATGTTAACTTCTCTGGGAAGCAGCAGCAGAACTGGCCCCACGTTGGCTGAGAAACAAAATGGTCACAACCATAGGTTTCTCCTCTGACAAGTCATCCCTGAAGAAAGACTCCTCTAAAAAAATAAAATAATAATAATAATAATAATTCATAATTAATTGAAGACTCTGAATATCCCAGAAAAACTGGGGGCAGACAGCTGCCTGACAAGAAATGCTGACCGCACTGAGAACGTTCGCCCCACAAAGTTCATTGGTTCCTGGGGTCTCATGACCTCTCTGGGGTCAGAGGTGGCTGATGGCCGGCTGTTGGAACAGACCAGAAATCTTGCCTCAGATCAGCACTCTCATCCTGTTAAATGAAGACTCTGAATATCCTAGAAAAACTGGGGGCAGACAGCTGCCTGACAAGAAATGCTGACCGCACTGAGAACGTTCGCCCCACAAAGTTCATTGGTTCCTGGGGTCTCATGACCTCTCTGGGGTCAGAGGTGGCTGATGGCCGGCTGTTGGAACAGACCAGAAATCTTGCCTCAGATCAGCACTCTCATCCTGAGTTGGAGGATTTCTTAAATGTCTAAAAGCGCATCCATAGACTTACATATGGCACCTTTGTTCCAGCTCTGAGCTTATCTGACTGACTAAAGAAGGCTGATTTGCTTATTAGTCATCGTAGTTCACCCTCAGTAATGGGGAGGGTTTATTGGAGCACAGTGGCCAGCCGAGGGGAACATCTGGGAAGAGGCGGAGACAGAGGCCAGACAGCACAGAGCCATGATGAGAAGCTTGTGCTTCATTTTATGTGCCACTCAAGGGTTTAATATGGTCGTGTTTATGTTTGTTAAAATCATTCTGGCTACACGTGAAGAATTCATTGCAAGGGAGCAAGAGTTAAAAAGAAGGGAGGCTACTTGGGAGACTTTTGCATTCATGCTGAGTCGATGCTGCTCAGACTACAGTAGGGATGGGAGATGGAAAGAAGTAGATGAACTTGAAATACGTTTTAGGGGTGGAGTCTGCAGAATTTCCTGGTGGATGGGATGTGAAAGGGAAGGGGAAGGAGGGGACGCGTGTGACTCCCAGTTTTCTGACTTAATCTATGGGTGTATAGGGTGCCGTTTATTGAGATGCGGAAGATGGGGAGTTGTTGGGAAAATCAAGAGTTTACTTTGGGTCCTGAGACACCTGGGAGACATCTGAGCGGGACTGTCAAGTAATCTCAGCTGAAAATGTAAATAATAATGAATAATGCTAATACTATTTATGGAGTACTTACTACGTGCTAGTTACTATTCTGAGAGCGTTCGTACGTGTTAACCGCTTCATCCTCATAAACAACCCGATGAGGTAAAGCTTATTAACCCCATTTTATAGACGAAGAAACTGGGGCATGGGATGGAGGACTCCAAAACCCATTCTCTTAACAGAAGTTTATAGTCAAATGTGGACGTGGTCAATCTACAATCGGTATTTAAATCCAGAGGAATCGGTGAGCTACAGTCACAAATAAAAGAGTGAACCACACAAGTACCAAGTACTTCTCTTTTCTCTGACCATTTGCCCTGCCGCCCTCTTTTGCATTCCTACTTAAGTAGCCCCCAAGAGCTGAAATCTGGACCCAAGTGGCCCGTGCTCCAGCCTGGTCCTTTCAGACTTCCCCTCCCCTCTCCACAGGCTAGGTCTTCTTTGTCCCATCTGATCAGCGTGTCCCGAGATGTTAAGGGATCTGTGTATTCCCCCTCACGAAACAGAGCTGCACTTCAGCAAGGGGTATCTGAAATATGCTCCTTTCAGCCACAGGAGCCACGGCGTGGGGTGTGGAGGATAGCCAGCCAGCACGGAGAGTGCGAGTTCATCATGGCCGTGGATTCAGAGTTGGAAGGACCATCAGTAGCACTGAGACCATTGGTATCAAAAGGATGCTCGAGAAAGAAAAAAATTTTTTTTTTTGAGATTCGAAGGTCAAATAAAGGTGGGAAATGCTCGTATAAGCATTGAGAAGGAAGTTTATTTGCTGAAAGACCTCTCAGAGAAGCAAACCTGCTGACGTGCCCCGTGATGCTCCAGGCATGGGATGCAGAGAGCAGCACTTCCCACGTGCGTCTGACTGAGGAATCCTTCTTCAGGGACATTCATTAACACATCCCGGATGTGGTATTCTTAGGAACATGCTTTGAGAAATGTTGACCAAGCCCAACTTTTATTTACAGAGGAGGAAATGGGGACCCAGAAAGGAAAAGTAGCTGGTACAAAGTCCCAAAGCTACCTAGTGCTGGGACACAGGTCTCGCATCTCTTTTCAGGCTCTGCATCTAGAATATGCTCCTCACATCTACCCTGTGGACATGTCACCCATACACGTGGCACAGGTCCTGCTTCATTCATGGAGACAACTTTGAATGTCGGTGGCCAGCTTAGAGACGTCTGATTTTCTTGAGAGGTTGCCAGCTCTCCTAGTGGCACTGAGTTTATTAATTCATTCCTCTAACTAGTATTTTTGGAGCCCTTCCTATGTGATTTGTGATTTGGGGAGAGAGCATCACTCCCTTTCTACACTTGCCTTAGAGAAGAGATAATATTCAGCGAATTACGGACAGTAAATTAACAGAGATGGAGTAGAAGAGTCAGATATGATAGCTATTAGGGATTTTCATCAGGAGAGTAACATGATTAAGGATGTATTACAATTTTGACATCTATGGCTGGTATGCTTTCAGGATGAAGGGCAGACTGTGACAATGATATTTACCATAATTAAACATTAGACCTTGATTCTCTGGACATTTTCTCTTTAATAATATATCTAGCGAAAACAGTCAACTCTACAGAACTGTTTAAAAAAATCCTACACCCGCAACTCCCAAAGACAAACTCTGTTAACAAATTAATGTCTACCCTCCCATATCTTTTTCTATGCATATATAAACATAGGTATATTTTCAATTTATACGAAAACAAGATCATCATGTCCATGACATGCTGCAGATGGCCTTTTTCACTCACCATGTCGTGACCGTCTTTCCACACTCAGAGCTAGGGATAGCCATTTGCTACTTAGGATGCCACCAAATGAGCCCGCCCTCTGTTGAATGGCATTTGAGTTGTTTCTGAGTTTTCCTAACTACAGCGTGGCTGCACTGAACACCCTTGTACACAACACTAGGGATTTGTGTGAGGATGCCCCAAGTGACATTCTTACAAGTGACATATATTTCAAAAATGCTGGCACGTGCTACCCTCCGTCAAGGCAGTCTCAATGTCCCTTCCCTTGAGCTGTGTGCCGAGGTGCCATCTATCCCGTTTGGTCGGACACCCCCCTTCTCCAGAGCTTTACCCTTCTGCCTCAACCCGCTCCGAGTCTATTTTTTTTTTTTTCCCTATATCCAGGCAGACACCTCCCCCAGAGTCAGGTCAACTGTTTTGACTTAAGTCTTGTGTTTCTTTTTAAAGCTTTCACTCCATAAATTCTGTGGTATTTCCTCCATGTTCCTGTGTTTAAAATCTGCCCGTACAGATGTCCGAGCGGTGCCTTCCTCCTCTGCCGAAGGTTCCCAGCTGGCCCCGCTAAGCCCGATGTCTCTGGTGAGGTTTGAGGCACTGGGCACGTCGTTTCTGCCATGCGAGACCCCCTGGTAAAAGGACAGAGGGTCTTAGCACCAAGCAAGTCCAAAGAGTGTTTACGTGATTGGACTTGCTTTTAGAACGACCCTTCAGGAGGTAGACTGGATGGGTCATACCTGACGTGGGGACACCAGCAAAGAGGCCACAGATCACCTGTGTAAGATGATGGCCTAAATAAAGCAGTAGACCTGGACATGAGCAAGAGAAGGCTGGGTTTTGAGAGTCATGGGAAGGCGCAATTAACAGTATTTGGTCATCGGCTGAGTGTAGGGGTGAAGGAGAGGGGGTCGTTGAGGAGAACTCCCCAATATCTGGCTCCATCGATTGAGCCCGTGTGATGCCATATACAACAATAAGGACACGGGGGAAGGAACAAGAGAAAGGATGTTATTGTGGCTTCAGCGGTGAGCAAGCTGAGCTCGAAGTCCCTGGCGGCTACACAGGTTAAAAAAATAAAAAATGCTCAGGAGGTAGCTGGAGAGGTCAGGAGAGAAATCTGAAGTAGAGAAGTAGTTTTAGTTTCGGGAGCCATCTGCGTATGGATGGAGCGAAGCCATAAGGATAAAACTGGCCACAGAGAACAGGTAGAGAGCCGAGAAGTGGGCCATGAAGCGACGTGGAGAACAGCCATGCAGGAGAGAAGCAGCCAGGACCCCGGAGACACTGAGGAGAGATGATCTGAGGGAGAGAGAGCAGGAAGGCCATCAGAGGGACCCTGTTTTTGAGCTTTAAGGCATAGCTTTTCGTTTTCAAAAGAACTGGGTTCAAATCCAGATTGGACGGTCTTGAGAAACTATTTAAGTTCTCCACTCTTCAATTTCTCATCTATAAAGCGGGGATAATTAAATATGCTTCACAGGGTTGTTGTGGGGAAACCGGGGTGCCTGTGTGGCATGCTTCGCGTAGCTCAGACACGGAGCAAGCACTCGTGCGTGTGGTCTGTGATTGTCTCTCATGAACACCACAGAAAGGTGGCTGTAAGAAGCAGGAAATGGCCAAGGGTGGTGACGGTTACAGAAAGGCCGAGTGAAGTGCTTACCAAAGCGTCTTTGAATTTGGCAATTAGGTCATTACTGCCAACCTCAGAATGGGATGTGGAGAGACAGAAGTGGAGAAATCGAGGCTTGGTAAGGACTGGTCCAGCCTTCTCTGCACATCTCTTTGCCCCACTGATGGAAACATGGGAGAAGGCTGAAATTTGGATCAGCTAGAGCAGAATTTCCAGGTGCCACTATGTGTGGAACCCATGTGAAGCGAGGCCATCTCCTGAGTTAGGAGACCTGTGGGAGACAGCAACCATCTGTGTGTCTGTCCCCCACCCTACCTGCCATGATAATACAGAACTATCTCTTCTCTTCACGGTTGCTATGGAGACATGCATAGGTGTGTAAACAGTTTTAAGGTCTATGTCAGATCTCGATTTTATATTGGTTGTGAGGGCAGGGAGCATATTTTATATATCATTGTACTACTACACCACCTGTCACGTTGCAATCTTATCTAGTCTCCTGGCTTTAATTAACATCCACAGGCTGATCACTCCCAAATCTGTTTTCTCCAGCCCATTTCTCATTCCTGAGTTTCAGACTAATATATCCAGCTGTCCACTGGATATCTTCTCATAGATACAACACAGATGTTGCAGACTCAAAATGCCTAAAACTAGACTCATCATAGCAGCCTCCTTTCTTCATGAACCTCCTTGTCCTCATCCATGTTCCCCATCTCAGTAAATGGTACCCCCTTCCACTTAGCTCCCAAGTCAAAAACTTGGACTTGTCCTTGACTCCTCCTGCTCTCCCAGACCCCCACCTCCCCATCCAGTTAATCACCAAGTCCTTCTGCCTCATCCGTCTCTCTCATGCTGGCCACTTCTCCCTTTATCCATCCATTCTCTCATTCATTCTACTTCATTTCCTTGGCTCAGTAAATGTATTGGCATCTACTCAGTGTTAGATACTATTCTAGGCAATGGGAATATACTGGGACAGCAAACAAGCTAGATTTCTGATCTCCTAGAGCTTGTATCTAGAGAAGGATCCACCCAAATCTCAGCTGTGTGATATCTCACTAGATTGCAACAAG